CCAATAGTCATAACCTTTATTTGAATTGCATGACAACCTATGAAAAATTGGAATTATTCTTTAGTCACAAATAATCATTAAATGCTTATTTTACCTACTAGTCCCTATGAATACGATTTAAATTTACTACTTGAACGATCGGTATATTTGTTGTGTTTGAGTCCTTTGATAGAATAAAAATGATTTATAACAAAGACAGAAACTAATGTCAACGGAAATCTCAACACATGACCTTGGGCAAGAGATGCTACAGGGGTGGCGTGACCTTGACATAATGTGGGATGTGTGATTCCTCGCACTTATGTCAGGGGTGGCATGACCTTGGGCAAGAGATACTACAGAGGTGGTGTGACCTTGGCATAGTGTTAATTGCAAGATTTGTGATGGATTGGTGTGATTGTGAATTGTGATGTGAAGATGATGCATGATTGATAGAATTAGGATATATAGAAATGCTTGTAAATATTTCATTAAGTAATGAGTTATGATGAGGTTATGTTGTGGATTTTCCTTGTGTACTTTACATATATATATATTTTCTTTTCTCATCGTATAACTTGTGGATGTTTTAGGTGAGGAAGATCCGGCTTTGAGTGGCATCTAGAATGCAAACAGTTGAATTGTGGGCGTGCTATGATATTGTGACATCGGGGCAGAGGATTTCTAGGACATGAATTTTTATATGTAGTTAGAGTTGTACTTATTATTTTAAAAACAATTTGTAAACTCTTATGTTTTATTTTCTAATTTTTATTTGGCTAAAAACCTATTTTGGTCCCTTATAATAATTGTTTGTTTCAATTTAGTCCTACTTTTATTTTCGGTTTCAATTTGGTCTCAAACTAATTAATTGGTTTCAATTAAGTCCCTAATAAATTAATTGGTTTCAATGTGGGACTTCCGTCCAAATTTCTTTAAAGGTGATAACTGTTGGCCACGTGGATGCCACGTAGATGCATAGGTGGATGCCACGTGGATGACATGTGGATGCCAATTTTTTTGAAAATACCTAGAACCAGGACGGGCCGTTCTGGATGCACTCTTGGTGTGTTAATTTTGCATAGATGTATATTGCCTTGCTGAGCTGGGCTGTTATTGATGATTTTCATGTTGAATTAAAATATTGTTGTACTATAGACTGTTGAGCTGGGTTGTGAGTAGTAAGTTGTGTTGTAAACGAAAATTATTGGATTAACAAAAAAACTGAACGAATAAAAAATAAATAAATAAATGAAACTTTTTACTAAATTGAATCAAAAGGTTGATTCGATTTTCAAAATCGATCGAATTCAATTTGTAACGTAGTGAGGAGAGTTTTTAGTTTAGTTGACTCTAGAGAGAGAAGAGTATATAAGAGTTTCTCTGAGAAGGAAATTTCATTAGTTTATTCTCAAAGAAACTAAAGAGAAGTTTTAGAAAGAAGGACTTTGGGTCCGTGAGCTCCTTTCTTTCAAATTTCTCTAATTGATTCTTCTTCTTCTCTAGATCACTAACTTCTTCTATCTTCACTAGTACAAAAAGGGTCTTTAACGTCGGATATTTTGAGGCTTTTACGTCAGAAAAGGCTCCGACATTAATACGGGAGAAACATGGTTTTGAAAGATTGAAGTTCGGGAGTCGAGCTCGGAGGAAAGTTTTTCTTCTTCCCAAATTCTTGGCTGTTCGGAGCCAATCTTCAGGTGAGGGAAGCTAGAAAATATATTGTTTGATTTCATGGGAGTTTAGGAACTCCATTGATGCATGAATTTCGAGAAGAAGTGGTTGAAATGGGTGATTCCTCATTTTCGGGGTTTTGGGAAAAATGGGGTTTTTGATGATTTTGATGCGTTGATTTGTTGCAAATATGAACTCATTTTTGAGTTGTATGGAGTCTATAGGCTGCATTTCTTGGATTGCATGTGGTTGAAGTTGCTGATTTTCAAGTTTTGAAGGAATTTTCGAGGTTTTTGGAGGTTTCTGGTTGAACATGCGCCAGGCGTTAGTATGTTTGATCTTTAAGTCTTCATGAAAGTTGTAGCCTTGGATGTTAGCTTTCCAATGGCACTGGAATCACCCAAAAAAGAGGTCTATAACTCCAGATATGATTGTTTTAGTGAACACGGGTCAAGCTGCCAACATTAGTTATAGTTGTTGTGGTTTTTAGAATTTTTAACAAGGTAGATGATGGAATTAGGAATTGGTGTCTTCATGAGAGTTGTAGGAAATCTTCTTATCTTTCATATGAAATAAGAATGAGCATGATAGGAGTAATATAACTTCATATATGCTATTTTATGTGAAGGTTACCATTTCACAATAAGTGATTTGGTTAAGTTGAAAGTTGTTTTGGGTGCTTAGGTTGATTGATGTTTTTTGGGTGTGTAAGTTGGCATGATATATGGGTTGTAAACATGTAGTATGAGTTGTGTTATGTGATGAAAATGTTGTGTGTTGATAATATATGATTAAATATTGATTAATGATGTTGTTGGTGATGCTTTTGTGATGAAGATGGGATGTAAATAAGATGCATGTTGTAGTTAAGTTGTGAAGTTATGTAGTTGTGTATAGGTGTTAAATGAGTTGTTGTGCTAAATAGAATTGTGTTGAATCGCTAGATCTTCAATCATTTGGATATTGAAGAACATTTATGAAGGTTTTTATGTGAACCATTTTACCAATGTTGAAAAATTTATTTCCTTAATTTATTTACATTATTACAATATATGTGTTGGGGTAGTAAGGGTGTCACAAACAAAGTCCTCTGAATTTTAAAAGACTTTGTAAGATTTTCATGACTTTTAAGATTTTGTAAGATTTTGCAACACTTTCAATCAATATTTTAATGGATTCTGCAAGACTTTTAAGTTAGGATTTTAATGAATTCTACAAGACTTTGTGAACTTTGCAGAATTTCATAGATTTTTGACATACAATAAGGTTTTAAGATTTTTTTTCATACATTCAAATTTAAAGAGTCAAAGATAAAAAAAAAAAAAAACAACAACTAGATAAATAATAATAATAATTCTTCGTAATATCATGTCTTTCTAAATAACATTCACCCGCATATCCATAGTTATACTAGTCCTCCAAGCATTAACATCTTTTCGCTCTTACATTTGGGTTTTAATAATAGGCTCAAAATTATAATTTTCATTAATCGGTAATGTTGAAGATGAAGGTTCGTCCACCACTCCAATTGAAAATTCATCAGAATGACATTCTTTACGAAGAAAGTTATGTAATGCTACACATGCTAAAAATTATTCTAAACATCATTTCAATTTTTTTTATAATTTGTGATTTAAAATATTTTATTTATAAATGATTAAAAAAAATAGTGGGACAACTGCCCTACTCTCTTATAACTAAATACGTCCCTTCGTTTTATATTGGTACTGAAGTAAAAATTTACAAACATCGATTAGGAGAAAAAAATATATATGAAATTTGTTACACGTACAAAATAATTTTTAAAATATTTTAATTGCTTTCAATTATTCACTCGTGAAGAAATATTTTTAGTATTGAATTCTAAGATACTGCAATGTCTTATGTTAATTTTTTTTAAATATAAAAAATCATAATTTCACAATATAAAAATTTAAAAAATAAAATTCATAGTAAAAAAATAATAATTGTTGAGTCATAAAAGGGGAAGAATAACAGTAACAAATTCAAGAGAAAGAGATCGCAGTTTTTGTGCTGAGTGGGTTCTTCCCCCAACTAAGATCCATTCTTATCTCATTCTAATCACAGAAATCCTAACTCAAATTCATCTTATATATATATATATATTTA